CTGCTGCAGAGCGGGGTGAGATATAGGCCCTCCCTGATGATCGGCTCGATGACCACATCGCCGTGCAACTCCTTGCAAGGCCGCACACCCCGACCGATCTCGTCGCACGCTGTCATGAGATCCACAGCCATGCCAGGTGTGATGATCGAGTCTTTGTTGTACTCTGGGTGCTGGAGGACAAAATTACGCATCCACGTCGCGGGGGTGAGGAGCTCGCCGCGAGCCCGCTTGCTGATCAGCGAGAGGTACTGGTGGATGCGCGCAAAGGAAGCCGCATCACAAGCGATGTGCTCCAGGTAGGCATAACACAGGGGGATCAGGCCAGGGAAGCGCTCGCCCTCGCCGTTCATGACCTCGTCCATCGTCATCTCTTCGCTGTCGTCGCCTTCTGGCGAACCAACCGACCCCCCTCCAGCACAATCACCACAAGGCATAATCCGCCGACCGACCCCTTGTGACCTGCAGCACGCACACACACCCCACCAGCTCCAACGTTGCACGTCTGAGGGGGAGGGGGGGGGGCCCTCGCCTCGACGCTGGCCGGACGCCTCCAGGCCTTCGGGCCCGCGGGGGCCCCCAAGATGGGCCAGGAAGGCCCCAAGGCGCACCCCAAGACAGTCCAGGAGGGCTCCGAGTGGCCGAGAGACCGCTTCAAGGCGCCCAGGATGGCCTCCAAAACGGCCAGCGAGGCCCCCGAGACGCCCCAAGAGGGCCTCAAGAGATCCTCCAGCAGAGCCCCAAGAAACTATTCACTGACGAAACACGTGCATGTCTTGCATGTGCGACCTTTGGACTCTCACAGCGTCCAAGACGGCCAGGAGGCCCCCAAGATCGCCCCAAGGCGGCCCAAGAGACCCCGCAGAGGGTCCCAAGACGGTCCAAGAGGGCTCCAAGACGGCCGAAGAGGCGCCCAAAGCAGCCCCAGGAGTGCCCGAGGACGAGGAGGAGGAGGAGGAGGGCCCCAAACAGGGCCCAACAAAGGGAGCCTGAAATCACATCTCGAGCTTTCCGGCCCAAGGGGACCTGCGAGACCGCCAGCAGGCCACCGAGAAGCCCGCAAGGGGTAACAGGAAGCCCTCAAGATGCCCAAAGGGAGGCCACAAGAGGCCCCCAAGCAGCCACCAAGGAAGCCCTGTGGCGCCCAACAAGGTCCATCATTGACCTCCCCCCAAGAACAGAAGAGAAAACGCACCCTCCAAAACAAATCGGGCAACCATCAACGTGGCCGTCACCCATTACGAGATCGCCCGGACAAAAAACAATGCATACAGTCGGCCAGGATCATAAGGATGCGCGATAAGGATGCAAGGGTCTTGGACGCCGACTTCGAAGCTTTCCGAGCGGGGCGCGGCCAACGAAAATGGCCAAGGATGGACCGAGGAGAAAGGATGCAAGGGTACCCCTGGGAAGGTTGCCCACCCTTACCATGCGGGTCGACTGCAAAGAGGTCCGCGGAGGCAGCGTGAGCGTGCAAAATATTCTTCCTGAACCAAAACTTCTGGGTGGTCACGGCCCCCATCTGGTGCGCGCGCTTCATGTTTTCGTCCACTTTCGACAGTGGGATGAGCACGTCGAGATTGAATACCAGCAGCGCCCTTGACAAGAGCACCGTGACAGCCGTGAATGCCGCGTTCTCGAAATCGGTCAACTGCACCTCCATCGGCCGAAATTCTGTCCTCCATCCGATGTGCACGCCACTGTCCGAGGGTGGCGGGGGCGGCTTCCAGCGCATGGACTGCCAATTTGTAGAGTTTATGCTCTCAAAGTGCTCTGTGGAGGTCTCGTCGTCCACCTCTGCCACAGCCCCCTCGAACGCCACCAGAGGATCTCGCGCGAAAAGATGCGCCACATGCCTAGCGAGCGGCATGACGACGCCCTCCTCAAGAAGCTGGCTCTGGACCTCCTCGTCCACTTCGCAAGGGATATCATTGTACATGTTGTCCAGGTCTTGTGTGTAGTCCGAGATGTAACACGAGATGGAATCATATCTGCTCTTGCTCAGCAACCGCGTGCCGCCCGCCACCATGGCAGGGTCTTCCTCGCGCTCGGCCTGAAGGCCACGCTCTGCAGGAGTGCGATCGTCCACCGATGCGGAGATGATGTTCCACCGAGCGTCAGTCGCGACGAGCCGCCCAGCGAAGATCGGCGTTGCCGCCGTGAGCGCCATCATTATGGGTGCGATCACCGCCATCTGATCGTAGAGATGGCGAGACTCCCTCATGTCCGCCGCCTGGAACGTCACCTGCAGGCAGCAGCAGCCCATGCCGAACGCCATGCAGTCGCCAGTGGCGTGCTCCTCGGCGGTGGCCTCGTCCCTGAAGGTGGGCACGCGTATGTCCACCTTGCTGCCCCGACGCGACCGGATGTTGGCCGTGAGCGTCGGGAAGCGCGGGTGCACGTTGATGCACGCGTCCGGGACGGTTGCGGACTGGGAGGCTGGCCCCCCGGGGGGCGCGGGCGGCAGCACGAAGTCGCCGCAGCCCATCAGCGGGAAGACCGTCATGGTCGGCGCGAGCTCGTCCGGCTCCAGCGCGGAGAGCAGCCGCGAGCGCCGCAGCCGCATGCTCTGCTCCACCTCCAGCAGGCTGCTGGTGTAGCCTCCGTACGGGACGGAGGGCGTGGCCTCCACCATCCAGCTGCCGTACTCCTGGTGCCAGGTGCAGCCCCTCTCCTGGGCGCTGTGCTGCTCCCGCTCACGCAGCTTCGCCAGCACCTCGTCCGCACGCAGCGAGAGCTTCACGCCGCGCCCGGCCGGGTCCAGCCTGCAGAGGGCGTACTCCACCTCGTCGCCGTAGTACAGATGGTCTCCCGACAGGCCTGCCGTGCGGTCGAGCGTTCTGAGGAACTGCTGCACGCCGTGCCTGCGGATGTAGCGGTTGTGCTCTTTGCTGTCCTTCCAGAGCAGGGGCTTGCCCACCTTCAGCAGGCCCATGGTTCGGGTCGGGCGAAAGGGGGGGATAGCAAAGGGGGGGTTTGAGAATCAGCTCACGTAGCTGATTTTCCCGGCGCCTCCCGGCGCTGGAGGCGGCTATGTATCGAGGAATGGGCTCCTCGGTGAGGCCAAAATCAGCTGCATGCAGCAAATTTCGTAACCCCCCCTTTCCCAATCCCCCCCTTTCGCCCGACCCGAATGGTCGGCTCCAGAACTGGCAGGCCACGGTGGGGGCGCGAAGGAAAAGGGCGGCTGGGCTGGGAGAGAAGCTGGCCTCACGAGCTGGCTGGGCGCGCCTGCGCCCTGCTGGCCAGCAGAGCAGCTTGAGCCACAACGGGCTTGAGCAGGAGCCACCGAGTGGTGAGCCACATATGAAGGGGCCCACAAACACACAAATAAATACACACAAATAAACAAAATCCCTATAGTTTCCCATATTTTCTGGGTTTTTGTCTTCCCCCCCACTTCCCATATTTTCCCATATTTTCTGGGAAATCGACGATTAATTGTGTCTGTGTGTTTCTTTCCCTCCTGAACATAGTCTGTTCCAGTGCGTTCAAGCAGAAGGCTAAAAAGTCAGCCTGCAAGATACCAGACCACCTTACACTTCGCCAGGGTCGCTCGCAGCCCCATCATCGCGCCCAGAGTCACTCGACTGAGACTTCGGCAGAGAATCCAGCACCCCCGCCCGAAGTTAGTGCTGCTCACAACGGGGGCGAGCCGAACCACAAGCCCAAAACCCACTTCTTCTGACGCACACCCCAGCACAGAACCAACATGACACCCTCCGCACGAGACTGAACCCTCGACCTGTGAGGTTCGTGGGGATGGCTGGTAGGATGCTCCCATCACCCCTGGTCCCGACCAAATGAGGTTCAGCAAGAATCCTGGCCGCGCAACCAAATCGACAGACCCTCTTACTGCTGGGTTTGAGCCGTGTTCCTCTCTTCACCAAACCATGTCGAACTGCTTCTGTTATCCTGACGAAGGGCCCAACCAAATGCAACTGCAAGTACCGCAAGGCAGGTGAGACGAAGGAGGAGGAGTTCCCAATGGGGCCACGAAAAAAACGGAGGCTCCCCACTTGCCCCCGGGGTCCACCCGGGCCAGCTCTCCGAGCCGCGCCCCGCCCGTGGCGATGGGAACCTCCCTGTACGCGCCCCCCAGAGCCTCCGACGGAACTGGAAGGGAAGAAAACCATGACCGTGGCCGACGATTGCACGCGGAAGCGTCGGTGCCGCTTTTGGCCGTCGTCCACATCAATCGTCGTCGATTCGTGGGTCACCCTTGCGCGTCGGCGGCGGCCAGCGTGGACGACCGGCGTCGACGGGATCCCCAGACAACCTGGTCATGGTCCGCGTGCTTCTGCCCTCGAGGAACGACGGCGCCGGCCGTCCGCCCCGGCCATCTCCTCCTCGTCCTCCTCCTCCTCCTCCTCCTCCTCCTCCTCATTTTCCTCCTCCTCCTCTTCAACCTCCTCCTCCTCCTCCTCCTCCTCCTCCTCCTCCTCCTCTTCCTCCTCCTTCTCCTCCTCCTTCTCCCGACCCATCCGAAAGCGGCCCGCTCAGCGACGCGCCGCGCGGCCTGAGCCCTTATTCCCCCCCCGGTGGCGGCGGACGGGGGAACTGCCGCTAGCGGGGCTGCGACGCCGTTAGTTCCACTAGAGCGGCCCGCGGGAGGCCCGCCGATGGCACGCCGCGACGCCATGCGGGCGCCCGACGACGCGGCTGCGACCCCAGAGGGGGGGGCATGCAGAGCACATGATGACATTCAAGAAAACATGTGTTGGCCAGCGTGGACCCCAAACATCTTGTTTCTGGCAACATATGTTGCGCAGCTTGCGTTGTGCAATCTACGTGGCGCAACTAATTGTGGAGACCTCCGGGTTGTTAACTCAACTGTTCGCGCAAGGGTCCCACCCACCCACCTTCAACTTGGTTTGCAAAACCCATGCGGCGGTGATTTCGATGAATGTTTGGTGCTGGCTTGTGCATCGATGCGGCCGCGCTGGCGCGACCAGGCTCGCACGCACGGCGGCCAGCTAGTTTGGCGCGACCGACGCGGCCGCGGTGGCGCTGACCGGTGGGCACTTCCCAACGGGCATTTCAGTGCGAGTCGGTGACTTGGGCGAGCGCGGTGTCATGGCGACGTCAACAACAATAGACACGATTATGCGAATAGTGATGATGGTGACGATGATGACGGTGTGACGACAAGGCCAGTGACAGCGTCGATGCTGATCACGCCGATGACGATGACGGTGTCTTCGCGTCGGAAATGAAGGTTTTGAAAGGAATTCGACATGCGCGCACGGCCGACGCGCGCGAGTGGTCCGCATTGCATTGTTTGACAGGGACCGTGCCCACACACACACACACACAACAAAAAAAAGAAAGCGCGCAAGAGAGCGTTCGAATGATTCCGACATGGAACGCGAGAGGCACGTTTTGTCGAATGTGATGAACATGTTGAAAGGCGATAGTCTTGTTAAAGATTCGAAAGAGCGCGCCCAGACCTTTTTGCGACACTGATGTTGCAAACCTCGCGTTCTTTATACATTATCGGGGCACTCGAGTTTGAAATCCCTGCGACATCTAAAATTGTAGAAAGATGTCGGCATGCGCGCGCGACGACGCGCGCGTGCGCACCTCGTCCCATATGTTGCAGAGGACTCTGGAGACAGCACGCGCGCAAAGGCGTTCGAATGATTTCGACATGGGCGCGCGTGAAGCACGTTTGGTAGCATGTGATGAACACGTTGGAAGCCTATGGTTTCTCAAGAATTCGCAAAAGCGCGGGCGCAGGATTTCCTGGAGTTCCTGTTTCGAAGCCATTGTTCCGACATCTGTTCGGGGCACCCGATTTTGACTTCCTTACGAGACCAACAACGTCTGAAGGATTCTGGCATGCGCGCGCGACGACGCGCGCGCATGTCGCCCCATCGTTCGGCAAAGGGATACTGAAAACTAATGATGTTTGATGCACGAACGCGCGCGCAAACTATCCTCTGCACAGGATGAGGGGAGGTGGCCGATGAGGGACTGCCCGGTGCGGTATGAATTCAAATTCCGGATGGACGAACGCGCAAAATGAAATGCGAAAAAACAATTCGAAGAGGTGGCCCGGCAAGTCATGGGGGGGGTAGGTCCTAATACCCTTGAATGAAGAAAAACCGACGCAGCGCCACTCACCCTGCGGAATTTGAAATCATCGCTCCGTTGCGCGCACACTCATCCCATCCACCCACCCGCAACTTTGCTTGCAAATCCCTGCGGCTTCGATTGCGGAGACAGCTCGGCGCTGGCAGGCGCGTCACCGCGGTCGCGCTAGCGCGCGCAGGCTCGCGCGCAGAGGGGCCAGCGAGACTGGTGCCACCAACGCGGCCGCGGTGACGCTGACCGCCGGGGACTTCTCGGCGCGCCCTGCAGGCCGCGCTGGCGCGCGAACACTTCAGCGCGAGTCGGTGACTGGGGCGGGCGCGACATCACGGCGACGCCGACAACGGCAAACGCGATGATGACAGTAGCGGCGATGGCGACCTGGGCGACGACGACGACGACAAGGCCAATGACGGCGCCGATGCTGACCACACCGACGACGATGATGTTGTTCACGTGTCGGCGACGAAAGTTTCGGAAGGCTTTCAACACGCGCGCGCGAACGACGCTCGCGAGTGGCCGGCCTGGTATCACTGGACAGGGATAGTGCCCCCCCAGCACGCGCGCAAGGGCGTTCGAATGACTTCGACACGCGCGCGCGAGCAGCCAGTTTTGTCGCATTTGAAAACGACGAAAAACCGGAGGTTCCCCCAGAAAAAGGCTAGCAAGAGCAAGCGCGCGCAGAACTCTTTTGGATAACCAGGTTGCAAAACCAGCGGCGTTTATATGTCCCCGGGGCACTCGACTTTGAATTCCTTACAGCACCAACGGAATTTGCAAGATTTCGGCACGCGCGCACGACGACGCGCGCGCGTGAACGTTGTCCCGCTTTTTATCGCCAGGGGTTCTTCAAAACTGATGGTTTGCGATAAACAAATGCACGCGCATAGAACACTTGCATGTGATGAGGAGGGCCGAACCCAACCGGTACCCCCTGGGGCGGCATGAACTCATAACTCGAATAATCAATAGGGAAGAACCATGTCAACTGCACATCCCCAAGGTGAACTGAGAATCCCAAGGAGGTGGGGGGTAGATGCCAACTCCTTTCGAGAAATTAGACTCTACGTGTGGCAACCGATGTGGAACAATGTATGCAGTGCTATATACAGGGTGCAATATGATGTTCTGCCAAAAATGCGGTGCAATGAGGTAAGATTTATGGCATGCGATCTTTGTGGTGCA